GACCGTCATTCGGCCATCTTGAATCAGATCGTAAAACAAAATGATGTGCATCAAGGTCCTATAATGTCTAATGTATATACCAAGTTTGAACAAAATCCATCTGTAAACTGCCGAGAAATGCTTGATTTTGATTATTTTTAGCACAAAAATGGCCGTCATTCGGCCATCTTGAATCAGATTGTGAAACAAATTGACATGCATATGTATAATATCATGAATGATGTATGTGTGAATTTTGATTGTGATTGGTCCAGGCATTTTTAAGATACAAGTCCGGACGCACGCACAGACGCACGCACGCACGCACACATACACGGAGGTCAAAACATAAGTCCCCGTTTTCGGACTGCGTTCGAACGGGGACTAAAAAAGGCTCTCTGCAATGCAAAGTGCTGCAGCGAGGCCATCGCAGCGGCACAGAGCCCAAGTTGGGCTTGTAGCAGGCCTTGTGGTCGGCGGTCGGAACCCCTGTATTTTTGTTGTCTGTATACTGTATGAAATAATATTGTATATTGGTAACTCTTAAAAACAGTGCAATATACAAAATTTGTGTAAAGTGTAAGTTTTACACTTATTTATGCTTTGTGTCATCTTTGCTTGCACTGTGTTTTTTGTAGAAAAATGGCTTTTTGGAGAAGAGAAATGGTGTGCAAACTAGCATGAATAAGAACCAAAGACAGGTGACATCAGTGTCTGTAATTGCATCCTGGTCCGACATCTCAGTAATTCCAAATTGCATCTCCATTTTGTTTTTCAGTAACAATTAGAAATATGTATCACTGGAATTAGAGTTTCATTATTTGTGAAAACTGCATATGTATGTCACTTCATTTCAGCCATGTCTTAATTATTAATATAAACATTTGTTATAACATATACATGTATATACCTAGTTAGTTTGTATGTGGTTTAATTCCACAAGACAACCCGGCCTTGTATAATAACACAACCATTTGTTGACCTCAATTTTCCTCTAATGTCACAATCATTAGTAAATGATTCCCAACAAGTGGCTCTCTGGTCTCCCTTGCATTGAGTCTGCGCCATACTTATCCAGGGTAGGTGATCAACCCATGTTTGGTATTGAATTCAGGTAAAATATGTAAAATTTGTAGAATTCCATCAAGGTTTTGAGTGTGGTATATACATAACAAACTAAAACTGTTTTACATACCATTCTGTTTCAGCCAGATGAGTTAATTCAATATGATAAGGGTTAAAATATTTAATCTATGTCTCTGTATCATTCTTACAATTCCCTCATGAAATGAAACTTTTCAGAAATGTCAATAAAACAGAAATTGTTCTTCATGTTTGTATACATGTATAAGTTTTTACCATACGCCTTATAGGTGTAATTACAATTTTACTACGATGTGAAACTCAAACACACGGCGTAATTTAGAATGATGCGTTTCGTTTTGATTGATGAAAGCTGGATGCACTGGTTTGAGTGTGATATAAGAAATTATTGCCCTGATGTGAGGGCGCACTTCTCATAGCCTGAGAAGGCCGGGCAATACAAGGTGTATGATAATGAGAGTTTGTGATAGACCAGTAATAATAATAATGATGTTTGCAGTGTTTTTGTGAGAATGGTAACAAGTTTTCTCAAATTTGAAATTTCACCCCAAAAAAGATATTTTCTGTAGTAGTATACACTACTCCCCCAGTACACACAAATAGATTATTTTTTACGCACTAAAAATGCAAAAAGCTTCAATTTTTTTTTCAATTAAAATTTTTTTAATGTTGGCCAAATGTTAGACAAATATATGAAGCTCTTTTCTGGTAAACTTCAACAATTCGAGAATACCCCAGAGCAGATAGGGAAAATGTGTACATTTGAATAGCAGCAAGACAAACTTTATTGGCCTGGAGGCATTAGATGTATAGTGCTATCAGTCAGTTTCCATACAAGAATGGGGGGGGGGGGGGGGGTATTTTCAAAGTTTGATTAAATTATCTATCTTGTTTACTGTGTAAATATTTTCATTTTTACTTTAATTTGTAAAAATTTTATTTATTTTTTTATTTTTATCATATTCATTTGCATATAAATATTAGGTACTCGTGAAGTGTGTGCTGCTGTGAGCAGAAGACATGAATGTCTTATTAACCTTTTCACCTCCTGACCTTCTCATCCCAAATTTTACTGCATTTGTTTTCTTATATTCTTCAACATTTCTGGAAATGAACCCTAATTTTGAAGCCAACAGACGACATTTGAGTAAATATTCCGGTTTTACACAAAAAATTTGGTTATTTTTGTCCCAGTCTTATGAAGGAAAGTGCGGACTATAAACAGGACTATTTTGTGAATTTGTGATGAAAAGAGGGAACTGGTGGTGAAAAGTTGAAACGTTGAACCATGAGAGTAGATATTGCCTTCATCACAGAAACATCCACACCCATCAATTATTTCTGTTATGTCATCTATGTAATATGAATATTAATATTTGCATGTATGTTTGTTTGTTTTGACATTAACTTTTAAATTCACTTGTGCATTTGAAATGTTCGTTTCCTATATATTTACTGTAATTTGTCTACGTTTTGCACACTTGTGCTTATTCAGTAACTGGTTTGCATGAACTGGTCTGGATAATTTACATATGCGCATATAATTACAATTGTATAGTACTACCTTCAATACAGTTTGGGTTGCATACCTGTAAGTACAGAGACAGTGCAAAGTTACTTACTGTAAAAGGATTAATTATTCACTGGGTTTTAATTTTGCTTATTTCTCTCACTGTAAAATGCGCTAAATTAAAACCCACTGAATATGTACAATTGAGCATAGAACACATTATCTAAATGATAAAACGGTGAATTTAAAACCCACTGATATGCGAAATGGTAAATCAGCAAAATTTAAACCCAGTGAAAATTAGTCATTTTACAGTACTGATTGTGCCAACTAGTAAGCCACAGTAAGCAAAGTATTTCTTCCATTCCGGAAATGAATATCTGGGTGTGTGTAACATTTTCTTCAAACCTTCCCTGGAAAATTTGTTTGATACGTCTCAGTTACATGTCTTGACCAATTACATTAGCTTCTTGTAAATGTGTATCATGGTACACTTGCGTACCGTAATAAAATTTACAAATGTATGTTAAATGTTGAATGTCATGATTTTTTTTGTTTGATTTTTTTTAATAGGATGCTGTACGGGTTTTGAATACCTTGCAAACAAATTCTGCAGTTCTGGACAAGATACGCAAAGAGAAAGGACGACTAAGTAAGAATAGTTTGCCGGAATATTTAGACTTTCTTGACAGAGCTGATATCACTGTAAGTAGCGGGATTACAACACTGTTATTTTCACATCCATGTGATTAAAATTCTGTTCTGGGAAAATCATTTCCAGAAAAAAGGATTTGAAATAATCCTTTGAAGGTCATAATTTCTCCTGCCAATATATTGGAGCATTTTCCCGTACTTGTCTATAATTTATTAATTTTATGGCAAATAGACAAAGATATTAAAATCCAAGAATAAATATATAGATAGTTAATACTAGTACAGTATAGTACATACATTGATAAAATATAATTTACGATATATAACTGGACATTATGGTCTTTGATGATAACCTTGACTTTATCAAGTATGTGTAGCACATGTTTGTTTCACATAAGCATAAAATAGACAATAATATAACAACTTGACAAGTAGCGGTATGTTTTAAATGACAGGTTGATGGTCTAAATACCATATTTGCTTTATACTTTTATGTTTTTGATTCCTGTTTCCCAAAATTGACTTTTGTGGGGGGGGGGGGGGAATAATGATCATACATCACATTTATCGGTAAGTGCAGTCAAACCTACAGTATAAAGACCACTTCTATATAAAGACTACAATGTACCTGCATAAACATGTACATCAACCACTTTAAAGATTAAAGTAGGAGTAAGCTTTGTATAAAGACCACCGTTCTTATAAACCAGCCTTTCAGCAATATTTCTGAGATTTTTTTTATTTTGAAATAAAACAATAATTAGCATTCTGTTCATGAAACATGTTTTGATTTTCCCCAAGATTAAAAATTTTGATCAACTGAAATAAAAAAAAATTTTTTTTAAATTATTATTGCAATCGTTAAAAAAATAATCTGACCTTCGAGTAAAAAGCACCTGTCTATAGACCAATTTTAATCAGGTCCCTTTCATAGTCTTTATACCTGTTCCTTTGATACTATACATATTGTTCATTTTCTAATGATATCTTCTGTTCTTTAATTGCAATGTGCATTGCTAACAGCGGAGCTATCTCAGCCGGCAGGCTGCTTGTTTTTTATGACCTGAGTATTGTCTTAAAGCAAATCCAATCGTGATTATTACGTATCTGTAGTTGTGTTTATGTAGGAAGTAATATTGATAGAGTTGAGTCTTACAACCAACACTATAATGAATGAATTAATAAATGTCACATATTTTGTGTTTCTGTTAGATTATATTTCTCAATCACAATTATGCATTCATAATTGTAATCATTATTTCCTCGATTTTGAAAAATAACATTTTGAAAAAAAATGATATGCTTGTATTTCATGTTTTTTAATTGAATAACAGAGTAGAAAAAACCAGCCCACTTAAAAATGGGGAACTTTCCAAGTATTGCCATGACCAGTGAAATTGAATTGATTTTATTTTTTGGACTTCTGTCGTGATAAAGATTTATTTTTTAAAAACTAGACAGACTTTTAATTTTCTTTAAGTTTATTCGTATTGTCTTCTACAGGAAGTTTAATTGTCGTGTCATGTTTCTGTAATTAATGTATTTATCTTGTTTCAGCTTGATGATATCGATGACCTGTCCATTATACATGTAAGTGGCACCAAAGGCAAAGGGTCAGTCTGTGCTTTTTGTGAGAGTATATTAAGAGCTAACGGATTTAAAACTGGATTTTACAGGTGAGAGTTTTTAATACCATGGTTACAAACGTCATAGGTACAGTGGGTGTGATGAGGGGGAGAGATTGAACACTAAGTGAGTTGTGGATGGCCATTTTTGTAAATTGTGAGTTGAGATAAGAAATGGTACCAATTTAGTAAATAAGCTAAA